TGGAGGAAAAGAACTGGTGGGATGAATGCATTTTCAGAGAGGATTCATTGATATTGAATGAATGCACATTAAAAGAGGATTTATCGATCGGCTTACACGATGTGGTCTGAGTAGTTCAATACTGGCTGTCTTCATACTAGGTGGGCTGAGAACCTGATGCTTCAGCCGTCCCGACCTGGTGCTGAAGGCCTGGAGGATTCCTGGAACGTCACTGGTCTTCAATCCATGTTGGAGTCCCAAAATGGATACCGCTGTGAGCAAAGGAATGCAGTATATAAACTGGCAGCAAGACGCAAAGGCGAGCAGGCAAAAGCCTTGTTTTTCCTTGGGCCTCCTGCTCGTCTATCTGCCACGTTGAGAATGGGTCTTCCCACTTCAAATGACCTGATCAGGAAAATCTCTGTGTCCTGCAGCCCGTCTTTTAGTTGCTTCCAGATCCAATCAAGTTGGCAATGGAGATCAACCATCATTCTGTGCAATAAGAATTTGTCAGCTCCGCTATAACCTAATGGGCCCATCATTGTGCATATGTTCCTCGTTGACTACAGTGTCGTTATTAACTGACTAATGAGGTATCTGCAGGAGGGAAAGTCGGGCAGATCTTCCTGCTCAGGTATGTGGGTCCTACCTCTAGGTTTTTCACTGTGACCCACTGAAGAACAGCACAAACCTTGAAACCTTTCAATCACCCCAAATTTCAGAGGTGAAAAAAAATTTCCATGTTACATGGATTATCGCCACATTAATCCAATTGCATGGAGGGATATATACACATATGCGTTAAATAGGCAGGCTGATCCTTATTTGAAACATAACAGTTTCAAAGTCTAGTTGTTAACAAATTATAGGCCCAAAAGATCACAATACACAACAACCATAACAAATCATAAAATTATAAAGGTAAATAATCCTGAAACTAAATTTATAGTGACTTATAGTAAATGTAAATTTTAGTTAAAGGCCAGTGTCATTAACCTATCAAAGCCTACAGTCGATTCAAAGGAACACTGTTTAAGACACTGACAATAATATGCCATTACCCCGAACTGTAGGAGTCCCAGCTATCTGTGAGTCTGCACACAGGGAGAATGCCATCTCATCACCAACTGTGACCTTAGCAGAATACCAAATTAGCGTTCTTAGGAGACTCTTACAATAATCATTTTCCTTTGAGTATTCTAACGTTTAGTAACCCTAGTGATGATTTAGCCAGTTAGGTGAAATAGTTCTGGTGTACAAAGTGGATGGCCATTTGCATATAGAATGTTCACAGACATACGTGCATGCAGGGAGGTGGGAGGCTCTGTAGGGAGCTGCTGCCCCAGGGTGGGAATCTCTGCCCATGCAAAAGCTCACAAATGTGTATTAGAAACAGACAGTTCACCTTTCTTGACTCAGATTCTCAGATGTTCCGATGGCTTCAGCTTTCGCCACATTGTCCGTTCTGGGGCAATCATCCATGGGCTGGGGGTGGGGGTGGGGGTCTCTATTTGCCAGATGGCTCTGTGGATGGGAAGGGCAATTCCTGAACTCCACAGAGGATTGATTGTATATAATAACAGTAAAGTAATAGTATAAGCTGTATCAAAGCCATAAAACTCATACCTTGGAAATCCACAGAGAATTGGAATCTCTAGTTTTTCTCTGGCCTCGGGGTCGCTGGCAGTAAAATGCAGATTCAGTTCACAACAAGACAACAATCTAAGCAACACCTGTAGGGTACAGCCAACCTTCCTGTAGAAATGCTTGCTTCCCCAGACCACGGGGCTCCATCTTGGGTCACTTGTCCTGGCCCTTGCATGCTGGTAGCTAGAGGGACTTGGGATCTGGTCTCTCTCAGACTGGTCAGGTCCTTACATTATCTCTTGGCAGGCTTCAGAGTGTTTCCAGCTGGGTGGCGGGCTTCTGAATTTCATGATTTCATTTTCTGATTCCCATGTCCTGGCTCTGCTTCTGATCTTCTTTGCTGCAGCTCCAGGAAGGATCTGGATCTGAGAGAAGTGCAAGAAAGCTGGCCAGACCCTCCTGCTTGGCAGGCTGTCGCCCTCATGTCCAGGCTTTGTCAAAGGAGGTCTCAATGTCCTTAGTGTTTTCCATTTTCTGGTTATTTCAGAAGCTCAGTCCCAATAGTATGTGGGATGGGATTATGTGTATGTGTGTGCGTGTACATGTGCGTGTTAGTGTATGTGTGTGATATGTGCTTTGGCGTCTGGTATGCACCTGTACATATGTGGTATGTGTAGCATATGGTATGTATATGTTGTATGTGTATGTGTTATGCTGGTATGTGAGCATGGAATGTACATGTTCAGTTTATGATAAGTTTATTTGGTATAGTATTGCATGTGTGGTGTACGGTGTATATGTGGTGTATGGTATCTGTTGTGTGCATGATGTGTGGTATATGTGGTATGTGTATATGGTGGTATGTATATGTGGTATGTTGTGGTATATGATATAAACATATGGTGTGTGTGGTATATATGTGTGTTGTGTGTGTTTATGGTACATTACATGGTATGTTTTTTATGTGTGAGATGTGTATGATGGGAAAGCAGTGTTTTTCTGCCCCTCTCTTCTCACTTCGTTTTCTCACAGTCCCTCAGGACTGAACGGGGAGGCTCTCCTCACATCCTCCTCTGTGTTAGTTACCTTCCGGCTGCTGTGATAAAATTCCCCGACAAAAGCAGCCGAAGGGAGAGAGGGCGTCTTCTGCTTCACATCCCAAGGTCCAGCCAGTCCCGCGTGGTGAGGAAACCCTGGCGGCTGCTCGCAGTGCAGGACGGTGAGGAATGCCTGTGCTCAGCTCACCTTTTCCCACTTCGGGGAATGGCGCCACACGCACTGACGGGTCTTCTGGCTTCAGTTGCCCTAATCAGGACCCTAGAGCTCATCAACTTGACAGCTCAGCTGTCATAGCATCTACTGCAGACTTAGCTTCCTCACTGTGCTGGTGCTGGAAGAGCTGCTGCTGGATACACAAAGGGAAAGGGAAAGGAATCCTGGAAAGGGTAGTCTGTGTTTATGGAATATTTACCTTGTTCTTTACACTCTTTCTAAATGCCACAGCACTGGCCTCTAGAAGAAAGTAAACAATGCACACTTCTTGTGGGTTAGCTGTTTCCTAACTACCCTCTGGGCTAAGTACTTCTACTTCTCCCATTTCACAGATGAGGAAACTGAGTCTTAGAGAAACTAAAGTCACGCCCTGGCAAGTGGCAGACCCTGGATTAGGCCTGGACACTGCACCTCTGTCTGTCATTTTTGCCACCCTCTGTTCTCCCCCTCACAGGGTAATTGCCTGGATTCAAGGGTCAGTGCCTTTCAGAGAAATCTCACTTTAAACGTCAATAGCAGAATATTAACTTCTTATTTCTTTTTGTATCATTCCATAACAATTTAATCTTTCCCCAGACAGATGGATACTTGGGACCAAGCATGGGAAAAGGTCAGATCCACTGAAAGGCATGAGAAAAGCACATTAATCACTTTTCCAAATATTGCTCTCATTATAATAATAACAGTAAAAACGAAATAATTACATAAGAATTGGAGTATGACAAGGGAAAGCACATACGATGCCCAGCTAAATACTGATTTTTTTCTTTCTGTTTTATAGTGTTTGAATGTAGGGTCTTGTGTATGCTAGATAAGCACTCTTCCACCGAGCCACACCCCGGTTTCCAGTTTTCAAGAAGGAACCAAGTCTCTTGCCATTGTCCTCAGCTAAGCTGCTGCTTATAAGAGGTTCTCAAACTATGCAGCAGAGAGAAATATTAAGATGTTGAGAGGCCTCTAGAACTACTGGGGGGTGGTCTCTGCTCAGTGAGGAACTTTTCTGGCCACATAGAATCACTCAAGTTTCTTACCCTGGGTAGGTGACCCTATCTAACAGTGATATTTTCTGTGGTAGCTAAACAGAGCAGCATCCTCTGGCTAACACAAGCTGTTCCCAAGGGAGATCTCTTATTCGGTTCTGAACTGTCAAATGTTAAATTGATAAAGCTGGGACGGATGGTGGACAAACGCCCTCCCATGGTGCACACCTGGGCAGCCAGGCATCCCCAGGACCAGCCTACTGTTCCCCGGATCCGGGTGCTCTGGTCAGAAAAAGCTCAGAAAACAGTTTTGGTGGAGGATCTGGTTGATGAGTGGGAACTATAAATCACAGGCAAGAGCCGGTGGGGGCGAACATGGAACAGCAGGGGCTGGGGGTCGAGTGGCAGGGTTAACAACCAGTTTGTGGAAATTTTGAATATGTGTGATGCAAAGGACGCTGGATCACCTGGGACTGGAGTTTCAGGCAGTTGTGATCTACCTAAAGTGGGTGCTAGGAATCCAACCCAGGTCCTCTGTAAGATCCCTTAGCCACTGAGTCGCCTCTCCAGCCTCTCCATGCAGGAAGCTAACTGACCCTCAAGGATGCAAGCTCTACTTCCACGTTAGAAGTACTGGAGATTGAAGCTGTCTAGCCAAACACCCAAACGCTCCAAGTTCTCTCTAGCTGGGTTCAAAAGACTAGGTCTGGCTAAAACAGTGTAAGCAGAGATGGGGGCTGTGTCATTTCTGAGCTGGAGGTGAATTTCAGCCGCCCTCTCCAGGCGCCTTGGAAACCATGTGATGATAACTGGTCAGGACACTGGCAAGATAGAAGGAACCTGGACCCCTGAGCCACTGCTGGAGGGAACAGCTTGGACAGCTTGGGAATGTTACTTTTGGATCTTTCACAAACGAGAAATATAGCTTTATTTTAACCCAATCAAATTATGGGGTATCGTCATGACAACTTATCTAGGATAACTATCCGAGTAACTTTTTTTTTTTAAAGATTTATTTATTATGTATACAGTGTTCTGCTTGCAAGTGTCCTTGCAGGCCCAAAGAGGGTACCAGATCTCATTACAGATGGTTGTGAGCTACCATGTGGGAGTTGGGAATTGAACTCAGGACCTCTGGAAGAGCAGTCAGTGCCCTTAACCTCTGAGTCATCTCTCCAGCCCCCTATACTTGTAACTTTCAATGGCTCAAAGCAGAAGCTCTGCTATAGGAAAATGACTGGGAATGTAATGATGAATCTGCTAATCAATCAGGATGATACTTTAAAACCTTTTTAAAAATGTTTTCTTTCTTTAACCATTTTTAAATGATTTGTATATTCTTGTTTTATGTGAACTGGTTTGGCCTGCATGTATGTCTGTGTGAGGGTGTCAGACCCCCTGGAACTGGAGTTACAGGCAGTTGTGAGCTGCCATGTGGGTGCTAGGAATTAAACCCGCATCCTCTGGAAGAGCAGCCAGTGCTCTTAACCACTGAGCCATCTCACCAGCTCCCTGATATCTTACCATCTTTATGGGGTTCTAGACCTTCGTTTTAACTTTGGTGATACAATGTCTAGGTGACAGAGTTCAGTCTTGTGGGGCTTATGTGCCAGTCGACAGAGACAAGCTGTCAGGCTAAGTACTTATTGTGCAACATCAAAACAGAATGTGCTTTCAGTTTCTAGTGCCTGCTTGATGTCTGCTCAGGACAGCAATCTGTTCCTGTAGGGGAAATATGCCAGACCCCATGGTTGTCCTTCCCATTTGTAGATGATGGACAATTCTTTGGTCACTTTAAACTGGTGAAAGAGCCTCAGTTTAAAAACTGAAATCAGGGCTGGAGAGATGGCTCAGCGGTTAAGAGCACTGGCTGCTCTTCCAGAGGTCCTGAGTTCAATTCCCAGCACCCACATGGTGGCTCACAACCATCTGTAATGAGATCTGGTGCCCTCTTCTGGCCTGCGGAGACACATGCAAGCAGAACACTATGTACATAATAAATAAATCTTTTTAAAAAATGAAATGAGGGACTGGAGAGATGGCTCAGTGGTTAAGAATGTGTATTGCTCTTCCAGAAGACTAGAGCTTGGGTTCTAGCATTCTCCAATTACAACAACCTACAACACCAGCTCCTGGGGATCTGATACCCTCTCCTGGCCTTCATGGGCACTTATACACACACACACACACACACATACACACGCACACTGAGTAAAAAATAAAGATTAAAAATCCAAATGACCACTGAAAGGCAATAATCAGATGCTTCAGCTGGGGGTGTAGCCTAGTTGGTAGAGTGTATGCCTAGCACTCATAAAGCCCTGGATTCAATCCCCAGCCCTGCATACCAACCAAGTACCCTGATGCAAACCTGTAACCCCAGGATTTGGGAAGTAGAGGCAGGAGAATCAGCAATTCAAGGACATCTCTGGCTATATAGTGAGTTAAAGGCCAGCCTAGCATGACCCGGGACCCTGTCTCAAAAATCTGAAGCAGCTGGGTAGTGGTGGCACATGCCTTTAATCCCAGTACTCGGGAGGCAGAGGCAGGTGGATCTCTGTGAGTTCGAGGCCAGCCTGGTCTACAGAGTGAGATCTAAGACAGGCACCAAAACGACACAGAGAAACCCTGTCTCAAAAAACAAAAACAAAACAAAACAAAAAAATCTGAAGCATGAAATAAAATAAAGAGAAAGGAATTTTTTGTATAACTCATGCTGATTGCGCTGCAGGAACTCTGGAAAGGATTATTTATTTTAAAAAGATCCTTCAATTCTATGCAGAGGTTGAGTCAGCACTTTTGAATTACGGTAGATCACTTTCTGACTCTTGGAACATGGATATAGCCAACTCTGCTTTCTCTTATTTACCTCCTTATCTGCCCCTCTTCCTGGCTGGTATTTCACTTCCTATAGAGGGTGGAGATTATATGTGTGTGGAAAGTGGCAAGGGAATGTACTGTTCTTAGCAGGCTGAGAGATTTTGTGTCTGGGGCCCGCAGATGGTCCAGGCTGAGCCTCTCTGCACGCTCCTGGTGAGTGATGCTTGCGCTTCCTCAGCTTCTAGGAAGAACAGATCTTAGCTGGGTCATTGTATCTCTAGGAAACCAGAACCCAAAAATCCTTTCTGATTTTTCTTGTATGGCTCAGGGTACAGTTTGTATGTATGGCAACATTTATATGTTGGAAATTTGATCCCCAATTCTTCAGATGTGAGAGGTGGAGCTCCAGGAAGGTTTTAGGTGTTAGCTCTGCCCCATAACAAGATTAGTGATGCCATGAGATGGACTCATGGGAACAGGCCCTCTCTCTAGTTTGTTCTTTTGCCATGTGGAAAAATGGCCTTTTCCCCTCTTCTCCCTCCGACATTCGAGGTGTCATTTGGGTAGTAGGAACTGGATGCTCATGAGATACCCAAACCTCCCGGCACTTCGATCTTTGACTTCCCAGCTTCCACCACACTGAGACCAAGAGTTCTGTTCTCTATTGATTTCTCAGTCTCAAGTATTCAGATCTAATGGCTTCAAAATGGACTGAGACAGTCTACATGGGTCCATAGCAAATACTCAGACATCTCTTATCACAGCAGGCTTTGTAGCTGCAGACAGAGCCCAGGACAGTACCTGCTCTGCTGTTTCCCCAGGATACCCACTTTAGTCTTCTCAGGCAAGACTCAATACAGTCTCATATCTGATGCACATCTCCCATCCCACTAACCATGGAAAGCAGTTGCAATGTCTCTAAATGGCCCTGTCTCTGCAATACCCACATGCCTCTCAGGACAGCAACAACTCCTTCCAGGGAAATCCTCCATAAATCCCCCTTTTGTTTCCCTGCATTTTTTGATCTAGCTGAAGGCACCATGAATCAGGGAAGGATTCGTGACCATTCCCTTTGTAGATTTTTATAGGTGGTTACCTAGCCTCAATAGTTCACATTTATTTCTTCAGTGTTTAGCTAAGGGACTTCCATTCTAACATCCCATTACATGGGGAAGCAAATGCATTAAGGAGAGCGTGATTTCAGACAGTAATAAACTCCACGAAGAAATGGGAACAAGGTGATGTGATGTAGGGCAGCCTGGGGGAAGAAGAGCTCATTCATAACATGTCACAGGGAAGTCATCTATCTCCTATCAGGCACTGGGCATGAAGCCACTTCCACAGGATATGGAGAGGATAAAGCATTCTGGGCAGTTGGAAAGGTAAGTACACAATCGTGGGTAAAAACAGGTTTGGAATGGACTGTGCTGAAGAGCCTCTGAGAGGTAGCCAGGCAGCCATCAGGAGGGGCCTAGGGTGTGGTGAAGGTTTGGGCTTTATGCTACCTGTAAGAATAAGAGTCTGCTGCGGGGGGCGGGGGGGGGGGGAGGAATTAAGCCCAGACTGACTGGATCTGACTTATATTTTATTTCTTTCCTTTTTAACATGTCAGACAAGCAATGCCCTGCTGTTGTAACACAGTTTGAAAGAAGCCTATCCTCACAGTGACATGAAAACTCAATCACCACATTTATGAATCACAAGAAGGATCTCAGTTTATATTTCCAAGAGAACAATGGACATGAACACACAGGGGAAGGAGGGCTGTTACAGAGTAAAAGAGCCTGAGGAGGAAACCAAGCACTGAGTCCCATCTCATTGACATCCTTTCCAAAGCGTCTTTGCAACGAACCCAGGAACTCTAAATAGAGGTCAGTATTCAATAATGTTATTATTTATTTTGTTAGGTGCAATGATACCATGATTTTTAGGTTAAAGCCTGTAGAAGCTGGAGATGAAAAATGCATGGATATATATGAGTGATGTGCTATGATGCCTGAGATTCTCTTTGACATATTCTACAAAAAGAAAACACAAGCAATTGGGGTTTCAGATTCTCCCTAATTCATATCTGAGGGCCCTTTTCCTTTTTACATTTTTTTTTCTTTTTTTTTTTTTGTGTGTGTGTGTGAGAGAGAGAGAGACAGAGAGAGAGAGAGAGAGAGAGAGAGAGAGAGAGAGAGAGAGAGAGAGAGAGTTGTGTTGTATGTATGGGGATGATGTGTGTTGATGAATGCAGTACTCAGGAGTCCAGAATAAAGTATCAGATCCACTAGAGCTGGAGTTACAAGCAGTTGTGAGCTGCCAGATATTGGTGCTGGGACTGAACTCAAGTCCTCTGTAAGAACAATATATGATCTTAATTGATGAATCATCTCTCCAGAGCCCTTCCCCCAAAACATGGTTCTAGAATAAGTTACAAATACAAGACTGTGTTGTGTGGGGAGAATGAATTGTAGGGTCTGGTGTTATAAAGGAAAACAAACCTTAAACTCAGTTTCACACATGACATTCTCGCAACACAGATCCTTCTGTGACTCAAAATGTGCAAGGTTTTCCTCCGCTGGCCAGCAGCAATCACTCCTGGAACAGATGTTAGCAGGAGGTCCTCTAAGTCAGTTCAGTTCCAATGCTATGGGTCTGGGGATAGCAGCAGACCTCCCAGACTATGGGCTCATGCTCCAAGACTGTCCCCAGCTGAGGTACCAACTGCAAGCCTGGGCCTTTCGTACTTCTGACCAACTGGCTACAGATTGAGGTTCTCGTGACTGCTTCTTTGGGTTGGTTAATTTGCTAGAGAGGCTCAAAGGACTCAAGGAAAGACATTTACTGCTTTATTGTAAAATTACTTTCAAGGATACAAATAAGCAGCCAGATTAAGAGACTCGAGATAAAAGTCAAGAAGCATCCTGAACACAAGATCTCATCCTGGAGTTGGGATGGGCTGCCATCTCGTCACCTAAATGAATTTTTGTTCATCTTCCTGTAAGTCTCAGTGTGTTTAGCTGATGAGAAGTTCTCCCAGTCTTATCCTTTGGAGTTTGGTAAAGATTTCTTTGGATAAGTGGGACTGAAATATAGATGCCAGTGTGGGAAGGTGATCGGACACAGAAAGTGGGAGCTAACGCTAACAGACGCAGATGAGAGCCTGGCAGGGATGTGTGTCCAGAATCTCCTTGACTTCACTGAGCAGCATTCCTTCCTCTAGGGCTTAGGGAATGACCCCTTCTGAAGTGAGTATCCATTGGCCTGTTGTTGGAGGATTTCTGTATGGTTGGTTTCAAGGCAGAAGGCCTGGGATTCTCTTTGGGGAAGAGAAATTCTAACTTCTGTGGCTCACCTTGCAGAGAAAAAGGAGTAAGTTAGAGAGAAAGAGATTGCTCTGTGGATCACTTCTGGGGTCCCAAACTACCCTCTATACTGTAAAAAAAAAAAAAAAAGGATTGTTTTTCATTTTTATTGCTCTGAAACCGCTTCAGCCCCTAAGGATGAGATGCCAATTATTATGCTTCAACAAAACACATGCTCATTGTTCTAGTCATTCAGGAAAATAACAAGGGTTATTATGGGAGTTGCAATCCAGGATCTGTGGTAGGAAAACACAACGTATATGTCATACTATCACAAGGAGACTGGAGAGTAGGCAGAGGCTGGCTTACAGCTCCGTGTGGTTATCCGAAGAGGAAAGGGGATGGTTAAGAGTGGTCGGAGTGGGCTGGAGACAGCAACAGTGACAGACAGAGCTGTCAGACCGGATAGAAGGGACGGCTTCGGGCACAACTCTGAGAAACACAGGTCTTACATTTACTCGTGGTCGGATCAATTATGCAAACACATGTTTATCTGTAGAACTATTCTGTCAGCATTTAGGGAGCTTTTAATTCAGCCTGAAGTCTCGGACCCAGCAAAGGAGCTTCAGCTTGAGATCTGTCTATAGGCAAGGCTGTCTATTGGTAAGCCGTTTGTTATTGGGGCAGCTTTTCTTTTCCTTTCTGGACAACTGATAATGCAAATGGAAGTGTGCCTCTGTCATCATGCACTGGCCAGTGGCTTGGGTTTCCTGGATATAACCTAATCTAATTAATGTCTTTTATTCCTGAGGCTATCTACCCCCTGTATGTGAAATATTTTTGTCACTATTATGCTCTGATTTCCCAGCACTAAAATAATAACAACACAACAAGAATACCAGTGGTGGTCTTATTGATTAAGTAGGAGGCTCTGAGTGGTGCTGGAAATGCAGATAGCTGGGACAGTGCTGTAAGATGGACGGACCTCACCCCTCACAGGCAGCTGCCGCTTAATCCATTCTGTATTTACTCTGTCATCCAGCCTGGCCCTTGATTTCCTCCCTCTGCTAGGCCTACCTTGTCATGCTGTTCTCTAGAAAATCAGGTCACCCTGTACCTAACTTTTCCCTGGTCAATGATTTTTTAGCTGCTTACTGAGCCGCTGTGTTGTATCTAATCCTCACTCAGCCCCAGCTATGTGCCCTGCCATTAGGAACATTATAAATCACCACTTAAGGACCATAATACCTACGTTAATGGTTGGAACAAAAAGTCACCCCCTCCCTTGTGTCCAAGTGGCAGTTAGAGGATGCTGGTCCAGGCTCTCCACCGTCCTCCTAACAATGGCAGGAGCTTCTAAGTTTTCAGACTTCACTACTCGCAGCCCATCTTTCTCCAGAGCATGCTCGCTGCTTCTTGCCCTTTTCTCTGCTGCTGGAGATGGAGACCTGCTTTCCAATCATGGGGTTTTCCTAACAGGAACCAACCACAGCCACTTGCCGACAGATAAGACCTTGCCATATTTAAGGCACACTTCCTTATAAGTAAATAAGAGTGTGGTTTCTTCTTTATTTTTTTCTTAACATTGTGCCAGGATTGGGAAGACTTTAGTGACAATCCAAGGACATACAATTTGTATCTTTCAGAAGGAGAAGAAGAAGAGGAGGAGGAGGAAGAGGAGGAGGAGGAGGAAGAGGAGGAGGAGGAAGAGGAAGAAGGCCCTACACAGATGCTAACAGTCACTGTGATGATGAAGTACCTGCATGGGGCAGGTTATACATATATGTGTGCATGAATATGTATGTTTTATTTTACAATATTGAATAGCATATGTGTCAAGTATAATGATAAAAAGACAACTTTTCTATGTGGTCTCTCTCTCTCTCTCTCTCTCTCTCTCTCTCTCTCTCTCCCCCCTCCAAGGAGTGGTCTTGGAGTTGCTATGTAACAGATGGTGACTTTGAATTTCTGATCCTTCTTGCCTTTGTGGGATTCCTGTGTACTGGGATTATAGGTATTCGCCATCACATCCACCTAAAAAGTTCCCAAGATACGGACAGGCAAGGGAATAGGCACTTACAATACAGAATGATAGGAACCATAGTAATGATAAGCTTCTTATGAGAATGCACAGAAAGCATACTAATTCAGTTAAAGACGGGTCAAGGAGGGGTGCTGGGCATGGTGCAGCTAAAGAAGTGAAAATGGGGATTCTGAGAGCTGAAAAACTGTTCAGAAAGGATCTATCTGAGAGTGAGATCAAACAGGAAGGCTGGAGCAGTAGACAGAAGCCACATCCTCGAGGGGCTGGAACACTGGAGTGCTGCTGAAAGGTTTTAAGCAGGGGGTCACATAAGCAGATTTGTCTCGATGCTGTATGGGAAATATCTGGAAGGAGAAAGATGAATGAGGGGAGATCAGGTAGAAGGCTGCTAGGGTAAACCAGTCAAGAATATAATTGCCTGATCCACGATAGTGTTGGAGGGTTCACAGAATGGGATGGACTCAAGAGATATTTGGGAGGTAAAATCAATAAGACTTGATGTTTAATTAGATATAAGGGTTGGAGTAGAAGAAAGCATGAAGGGCAAAACACTATATTTAGATAATCACAGCAGGGTCGATGGTGCCACCCACTGAGATCACAGTCATAGGCAGAGAAGGAGGGCTGGGGTGTGCAGAGATGATAATTTCACTTTGGGATATAACATGTTTGGGGGCACTTTGGATTCCATGAGATGAAATAAATGTACACATGTGTGCACACAGATACCGAGACATTCTGCTATTTATATTTTAATGATGAATTCTTGGATGCTGTAATTCCAGAAAAAGGGCAGAATTACAGACTGCCTGGTTCTCACATGACTGTCAGTGCTGACTAGGCATGGGACAACTCTCAGAAACAACAGCAACGGCTAACCAGTCAGTTGTGTGGTCGGGGTCAAACAAATGTCAGCCATGTTCTGCCTCTGAAGAGTTTCATCCAAGCGAGCTACCCGGGACTTCCAGCCACAAATAGACAACGGTATGAGACTGTCTCTCAGGCTAGGGCTGTGGCAGCTGTCGGGTGGTTGTGTAAATTGCTGAGAAGACAGAAAGCTGCCATCCCCTATTGTCTTCCTAAAAGACTTGAGAAGAGAGGAAGAAGGAGCAAACGAAAACTGATGAAGAACTTAGAAACCAAATCGCTGTCCTTGAGTCTCTGAAAGAAAAAGGCAGATAGACAGAGAGACAGGGAGTGAGGAGACACCTGGTTTTGTTCTGATTTTCAGTTCCTGATTCCTTGAACACGACAAAGTATACACACACACACACACACACACACACACACACACACACACACACACACACACTTTCTTACATATCTTACATATTGAATACTGTGATGTGATGGGTGTTCTTGGTTGTCAACTCAACTACATCTGAAATTAACTAAAACCCGAGATGCTGGATATACCTGTGAGGGATTTTTCTTAACTAAATCATTTGAAGTGGGAAGACCCACCTTTAATCCAGATCTTTTGAGGTGGGAAGATCCACCTTAAATCTGGACCACACCTTCTGTTGGCAGCCCATATAAAGGACATGGAAGAAGGAAGCCCTTGCTTTTTGTCAGCTTGCTGTCTCCTCAATAGCAAGTCCATTCCTTCACTGGTATTAGAGTCTACGTCTTCAGGACTCCAGTGCATGCTAAAGATCAGCTGAGACATCCAGTCTCATGGACTGAACAACTGCTGGAGTCCTGGCATTTCTGTTAGTAGACAGCCATTGTTGGACTAGCTGGACCGCAGCCTGTAAACCACTCTAATAAGTCCCAAAATAAATACATATTCTGTCAGTTACATTACTTAAAGGACCCTGACTAATACAAATACTTAAAATTTTTCATTTTAGTTCTTTTGAGATTATAACCAGAGTTCTCATTAGAATAGAAATTGGTATCAGAAGTGGGGCTTCAAGTGATAAAGCCTTAAAATCTTAAAAATAAGCTATGATATCACTGGAATGATATATAATAAAAAACATTCCACAGGACAGCAAGTTTGCAGCCTGTGATATTTGGTGAGAAATAAATAAAAGACACATATAAGCCCTGCTGCATGCATAGGTAAATCCATTGGAGGCTTGATGACTGAATTAACAGAGAATGTAGAAGACTATTGGTTGCTTATGACATTAGCTAAAGGCTAGCAGCAGAGAGACAGGGTTCTGTCTGGAAGGCCTGTCTATCAGAAAATAAGGGCAGGGTGATTATATAATTTTGGTGCAAAGAGCCCATTTTGCCTGTAGCTGGAGCTCTCTGATTACTCAGAATCAAGTTCAGAAACTAATGGTCCTTGCTAAACTGTGGTCTAGTCCTAATTTTCTGTCTCATTGAGTTTCTAGTGCCGATGCTAAATCCCTGATTGACAAAGATAGATATTGGGGCTGTTGGGAAAGGGTTGTTTGGGAGAAGTTGCTGGGACATGACACCCTCAAAAGCTCCTCCAAGACATTTCCTATTCTGCCTTCCCCACAAAACAAAAAGACCCCTTTCCACTAAGTAGCTAAGGTTAGACTATGGATGAGAGGAGATTGGAAAGGACGTACCTCCTGCCTGTCAGCTGCACCTCTTCATACAATACGGCATCACTGTTGGAGAGAAGGAAAGTCAGATTGAGGAGGCTAATCCTGCATTCTAAACAGCAGGAAATTTATGGACACGGTTCTCAAATTTATTTCAACTATTAAGAACAGGCACTATCCCAAGGACACCGTCCTTTCAGAGCAGCCAAGGCTCTTTGTAGCAGTAGTACTTAAGGTATGCTTGAATAAAAATGCTATGCTGTTGTTGGTTCCTGAAGAGTTATTCCTTTCTCCTTTGTTTTTTTTCCCTATGCAGATAATTATTGTGAATTCTGCCTCCCTGCTTTTGCAACTGTGCTGGGTGCCAGGGGTATGGCCAAGGTTAAATTCACCACTTACTTCCCAAATTGAAGACAAGAAGTTGCAGAATCTCATGGAATAAAAGAGGCATGGACCTAATTTGAATATTGTGATGACTTCTTGACACTTACTGTCTCTGAACGGAGAGTAGACTATACCTTTAGGTTGTCATCTGTGGGGAGAAGAGGCGTGACTTGAAGCTATAAATGTGATCAAGTTAGACAAAAGCATCCCTGAAAGTACTGGAACAGAGAAAAGATTCTGTGTGTCAGGCAGGTGAGCAGAGTAACAAAACTGACAAATTTGGATTATTTGTCCTGTCCAGTGATGTCGGAAGAGACAGTTCTGTGTATCATTTAGACATCTCCCTCTGTAATGCCACAGCTATGAGATTTGGGATGGATCTCTCATGTTGGGGAGCTAGACTTATGAATGGATAGGCTCATCCAAACACTCTTAAGATCTGAGCAAAGACACATAGAGTCTAGAGGGGGCTCTGGAGTTGGGTTCTAAACCCTGGTAAGCCAGGGAGTAAGCTGAGGAAGGTGGTGGGGTATGGGATAAGAACAAAGCAAGTCTTTGGAGCTGATGGCTCCTGAGAGGAAGAGAGCTTCATGCTGAGCCGGTTTCTCTGCTCTCCAGGTCTTCTGGGGTCCTTGAAGTTCATTGTCTTCTGCTTTCTTATACTTAAGCATAAGCATAGCAATAAGCATAAAGTGGAAATTCAAGAGCAAGATCTAGGCAAACATTTTTTCAGATCCATTCACATCTCCATGTACCTAAGACCCGAGAGTGTATGAATTCACACAATAAAAGTGCAGATGAAAGAAACACTTTCTTATTCTGGTCATTATAAATGCCTTGTACTATGGAGGACATACAAAAAAGTAAATACTTGCCTTTATTCTGTCAAGCCTTCTAAGCAGCTCCGTGAGGAAGCTACCGCTGCTGCTGCTCTCATTTTACAAATGAGCTAAGTGATGGAGTAAGGTGAAGTTACTTTGCCTGGGTCACCCAGCCTACAGGAGTAACTGTGAAAGCCTGGGATGAGTCCATCTTTCAGTTCCTTAGCAACAGAAAGAATTCAGAGCTCACAGGGCAGAGCTTTGTGCCCTGGACCAGAATCTGCAGGAGCAATTCTTCTCCTAAGGGAGTACCACTTTGTAGTCACCAGGACTGGTGTTGCTTGACGTTTGCAGACATGTTGGAAGAGAGCAAATGAATGACGGGACGTTTATCCCCAGAGTTTCTCATTTTCTTTGGGGGGTGGGTTTCTCTTCCCCCACTCTACCCATCATCACTAGCCTCGCTCCTCTCTGGCCTGTCCGGATGGGACCTACTAACCTGTCTGCCCACTCATGAATCAGAGGGAAGCCCCACAGTTGACCTTCCTCAGTCCTATCCCCACACCATTCTTAGGGTAATGCCCCCAGTTTTACTAATCAGAAGTGGGCAGTGGATAAAGACATTAGTAAATGGTATTTTGTGGGAAATTTTTACATGGCCCAAATCATTTGGGAAATGCTGAATTAAACAAAAGGAGGTGTCTGTTCTTGATGCATTAATACACATCTCTTACACTAGGGCACGCCAAGAATGTCCCAAATGTACTTGACCACAGAACAGCTTTCTAATGTGGCAGTAATGGAGAAGGGGAGAAAGACATTGTGGAGGTGGGAGGTGGGAAGTGGGAGGCACACCGGAACATCTCAAATCCTCCTCAAGGGTTTACAGCCGCCCACTCTATTCATAGGCAACTGACCTTGGCTGGAAATCTCAGTAGGTAGGTAGGGATTTGTGTGTGTGGGTTGAATATGTGGTACAAGCACCTGTGTGTTTGTACAGCCATGCACCCACACACAGAGGCACAAATTGCTGGCAGTCGGTTCAAAGGTATGAACCAGGTTGGGTTTTATTATTTGGCATTTGAAGTTTCCCATCACCTAATATTTGCTCAGGTCTCTTTGGGGACACTTTGATAAATAAGGCAGAACCTGCTTCGTGGTGACTGTAGTTGGTTGCTGTAGGGGGCCGGAGCTCCTGTGTTCTCAGAGAGGGTCTATGTTCTGACTCCATGTTCTTGCGCTGCCCCTCTCCTGCCCTACCTACTGAGGACATGTTGGAGGAGCCTTTGCCTTGAACTTCTTTCAGCTCGACACCCTCTGTTTATTTTTGCACCCCTAATTACCCTTTCAACTTGCCCTGGTTTATTTTTAGAGGTTTCCTATCCACCTCATTAACAGCTTGCAAAAGCTCCTGTCTCATATTTCTACCATTTATACCCTTCATTAAACACGGTGGCCTTTGTTATCTCAGAGCAGTGGCCTTGTTAGGATTTAAATGGGATGACTGGAAGCTATTGCCTAACTGATTTTCAGGCATGCCTTTCCATTCCTCCAATCCTTTTGTTTGCCTGGGAGTCTAGAGCCTGTCTCCCCAGGGTTCTTTCTGTTCTTTTTTGGTTGTTCTTTTTAGTAATCAAAGGCTGAGCATGAAGAAGAGGCTGGCTTCTGGCTGCTCTGTTTTTGTCTTGTTGATTTGGGCAGGGGCGGGGGCGGGGGGGGGGGGTGAGGGTGGACAGGCAGCACACACTTGTCCTCTTTCCTCTGTTCCCACCAGGGGTTATGAGGAAAGAGTTTGGCTGGGATTTTCCCTCCAAGCCTTGGCAGCCAATGTGTGAACCGAATGGCGATACTTAATTAAATGAACACCAGGACCAAGGTCCCCAAGCTTACACCTGCTGATCCTCCCACTTCATCAGGAAAACTCTGCCTAATTACCCTTTTCCGCTGGCCCAGTTTGTATTCAAGCCTTCTTAGTAGGACTGGCCAGATATTGAAAGCTTCCTTCACGAGAAGCATCATATCCCAGGTACCATCCTGCAGAGAGAGGAAGGATTGCAAGGGCCAGAAGAGGAGCTTTCATTATGGTGATGCTCAGTGGCCTGAGCCAGATTTTCTGGGAAGGGTTAGGGAGTCTTTGAGGGAACCTGTGATTTGACCAGAGCAGGGAAAGCCTGGTCAGTGAGCTGTCCCTTCTGCAGGGGCCCAATCTCTCTTGTGAGACTTCTGCTGTCTCTGGCAAGAAATGAGCCTGCCATCTGTGCTACTGGCTCAGGACTGATGGGTGTGGACAGCAGGATCCAGGCTTGTGGAAGCAGGATAGAGTGAGTAGGACCAGACTCTTCTGTGTTGGAATCTTAGCTTCTTCCATGGCCTGGAAATTTCCCATACTTCTCTTGCATCCTCATATATGTGATAGGACGCTACTGCAGGAGATATCTCAAGGGTGCTAGCAGAAGTGATCGTTTTAATGTATGGGAAGGGCTGGGCATAGTGCCTGGCACATCATAATCACTCAACAGATGGCAGCTGATGTGATTAGTATCATTGGTAGATGGTAACCCTCCTGGCTCTAAGTGGCTTCTGGAGACCATAAGAGCATACTCAGAGAATTGAAAGTGACCCTGTGCTCTGTGCACAGGGCGGGACAGGTTGTGTTTGCTGTGCTGCTGGCCTGTAGGAGACATTATCTACTCATTTCTCCCTAGTTCTCTTTAGAGAACCAACATTAGTTAAACACCCATTCCATGTCACACACGTATGCATGGCAGTCTAGAGACCTCAGTTCTTAAGCAGCTCTCTGATGGGAGAGACCCTAACTAGATTATACTCTAGAAGAAAGGCACAAGCATCGGACTTAGGGACAAAAAGGAGCTATTCATTTTGATCCGAAAGGTACAGAACTCTGGGCAGACATAGGAGGGGTGTTTGAGCAAGAACATTCTCTTAGTTCATTTTCCTGGTGCTATACCAAATATTCAAAACTTAATAATTTATTATGAAAGTATATTTATTCAGCTCATGGTTCTGGGGACTGAATGTCTTAAGATCCGGCAGCTGTGACTGGGGGGGGTGGGGAGCTTCTATTGTGTCATAACGTGGTGGAAAAGCGGGGCAAGTGGGTATTCAAAAAAGAGACAAAATGGGTGACTCCACTTTATAGAAACCCACCCTTGCTACATGAGCCTGCTGTCATGAGAATGAGCTCACTCCTGTGAGAAAGCCAAGCCCTCCTTATGACTGCATCTCTCAAAGGACCCACTTAACCACACTACCACAATGGCCACCAAAAGTCACTAGACATGAATATCAGAGAGAACGGGCCATGTTCAAACCACAGCAAGTGTGGAAGATGAGAAGAGCTTCGATGGGCAAAGGAGGGATGGAAGAACATTCTAGAATGAGGGAAGAGCTTTGGTGAACTCCTGGAGAAGTGGAAATGCATAGGTATTTGGTGAAGGCAGCCTGAGAGAAGAGAGGAAGTTAGCACACAGGGCTCTGTGTGCAAATGCCGTTGCAAGAGTCTGCCGGGAAGGCCTAAGAAAGACAATGCTAGACGTTTCTTCCAGAGAAATCACCAACCGGGACTGTATGAACATAGATAGACAATGAGTCTCAACATTCTACTGCCAGGAAAACCCTGTCATGAATTTTTCCCTGTAGATCTGACAGCTTAGTTTCAAACACTTAGCACAGAGGTTCTCAACCTGTGGATCTTGACCCCTTGGGGGGTGGGGGGGGGTGGGAGTGGGGGGTGGGAGGTATGTGTCAGGGGGGTGGGGGGGTGTTGAACGACCCTTTCACAGGGGTTGCCTAAGACCACTGGAAAACACAGATGTTTATGTTAAGATTCATAACAGTAGCAAAATTACAGTTATGAAGTAGCAATGAAAATAATTGTATGGTTGGGGTCACCACAACATGAAGAACTGTATTAAAGGGTTGCAGCATTAGGAAGGTTGAGAACCACTGATCTAACCCATTACATTTGTTACTAATCACAGATAAATGTACCGTTTCTGACAGTTCTTTCAAACATTGATGACTCCTAGGTATGGAGAGTGCTAGGCTGGGAGCCAAAGGAGTAGGCAGTAGAATAGCAGGGATCTGCAGACCCCTTAATAGACACCCCCCCCCCCCCCGCACTGCCCAGGGCCAAAAGGAAGAGGCAGAACTAAGGCATGTTGTGGTGTCCAGATGATGATGGGGACAAGTCTAGAACATTCTTTGGATGGGATGGTTAGGATCTGATGAGTAACTGGGCTGAGGAGAGGGTGAAGTAGAGTCAGAGGCTCTGGGCCCGGCCTTGAGAATATTAATGGGGCTACAGCCTTGAGAGGAGACCCAAGGAGACTGGTAGTCCCTTAGGGGGGTACTCGGTGTAAACTTCCTGCAGAATCCGTGTGGCGCTCTCCAGCAGGAAGCTGGGAGCTCCAGAGAGGTTCCTGCTTTGGGCAACTTGGAATATTTTCTCATGGGCCTGGAGGTGGAGGCTCAGCTAAACTCCCATTCTTGGACTCAGTGGCTAAAACCAATGTCCACCCAGGCCCCCGCTTTTGCTTCTAGCTTCTTAACCCATCGGTTCCTCATTGTCCGGCATCTGCTTCATAAAATCCCCCGGGGTTTGTTTTTTGGAGCCTGGGTAACACTTGTGGCCTGTGGGAAGGTGAGGATTGATGGAAGAAGATGGGCAGCTGAAGGGTAGCCAAAAAAGCTGCCAAGCCAGGGCAGCACTCTCTCCGACTTCCTCATGTGCCTGTCTGTCCCCAGCGTGGGTTATAAACAGATGTTCTCAGTCATGACCAACTGTCTGCCCTTTTGTTTTCCAATCTGGAAGACAGAAGTAGGGATGTGGTTGTGGGAAGTAAATGGTTCACCCTGCTGTCGTGGAGGCTGAGGTGGATAGCCCTGGTGAGAGCAGGGGGTGACCTTCAGGGCCCTGGACAGAGCTTCTAGAGTGGCCATCTC